CAAATAGGTTATGATTACCTTGTTTTCTATCTCAGGGACCTTTTACTTTTGAAAGTGGCTTTTGCAGAATGCTGGATAAAAATGTTGTCTTTTTCGTCGAATAAAGAAATGGAGAAGAGATGCTGATTTGGGACTTAGGAGAACCCACCATAGCCGAAGAACAAGAAAAAGATTGATTGGTATTATTATTTTATTCTTTGAGAGTGGAAATGAGTGAAAGTGGGGGGATATCAGCTTCATCATTGGCTATCACAACAACTGAAAAGAAGCCTCCAAGAAGTGGAGGAGGCTGCGTAGCTCTCTTTTTTCAGCTGTTTGACTGGAACCGCAGGTTAGCCAAGAAGAGATTTTTTTCCAAGAAATTGCTTCCACCAGGTTAGCTCGCCTCTCTTTTCCCTATCTGGCTATCTCATGCCTTTTAGTAAAAAGCCTTTCTTTTTTATTTCTTTTACATAGAGCTGATTAGCTGAGTAACTGAGTTTTTCTTTTTTGAGTTAGATCGTTCAAACCAAGGTTCTAAGAAGTTCGGGGGCGATGAGAAGCAGCCAAAGCTCCGTTTGGTATGTTTAAATCTCAAATAAATTAAATAAGTTGAGAATTTGTATCTACAGGTTCATTATATTTTGATGTTTTATAATTTTATCATGTGAAATTGTAAATGCCATATAGATTGCAGACGAGAACAGTGGGGGATTTCCTAACTTTGGCAAGAGCAGCAAGTTTTATTATTCTGAGAAGAAGAAGGAAATGAGGTCCCCCGGTCTGGTTGCTAGGCTCATGGGACTGGATTCCATGCCAGCCTGCCCAAGAGACCATTACCCAAAGAAGGTTTCTTTGAAAGATCTGTCTTCTGCCACTAGTAATAAAGAGGAGAATAAGTGTGATGAGGGGGGAGATCCAGTTGTTGCTAACTTAAGGCCTCAGAAGGCTCAGAAAACAGGAATGAGTGACAGGATGCCAGTGACTAGGTTTGGATCCGAGGCTTTCCACATAAAGAGTATGCTTTCGCGGCCGAGGAAGAAGCATCTCCACCACCCAAAGCTTGTATCTCCCGTTAAAAGCCCAAGGAACGTCCCCCGGTCCCGGTTGATAGGTGTTGCAAATAAGATTCTTGATCCTGGAGGGATGCAAAAGAAGGCCAGGGGCAAATATGTTCTTACAGTCTCAGACACTCTGCATCCACCTTCATCATGTAGAAACTGCGGTCATTCTTTTGACATTGTTGACTCCATACCAAATGAAGAACATGAAGTTTCTGGAATTCCTTCAGAAACAAGCGGGCCTAACGGGCCCTTATATTTCTCCCATGAACAAAAGGAGGGGAGGCCTTGTGCACCAACCTCATATATTGGTCCTGTGCACAAATCCCAAAGGCCAAACCAAATCTTTCCAGGGAGATACACTAGAGTAAAGCAAAATCAAACAGGTCCTACCAGTGAGACTAAAGATTTTGTTTCATTGAACAAAACCTTAAAGAGGATGCCTATAAAGGCAGAAAGATTTGATTTTGAAGCTGAAAGAAAATTTTCTAACGGGAGAGCCAAGTCTTTATCACCTGTGCGCAAGAGAAGGCCTATGAATGTTGCTAGACAAGGTGAGAGTCTAGGGTGCACACATGCTAGCTCTAATCCAATGAGTGGAAAAGAGACTGATCTAAATGGCACATTAAGACTGAATGGCAGTGACATTGCTCCATTCACCTTTACATCTCGATTCAACCAGAAGACAGTGTTGCCTAGAAAATCCACCACTGTCCTTCTCCAGGAGCTTATATCTGCCTTGACAGTAGGTAGACAATTTCAAGAAGATTGTTTTAGTGTAAGACCAAGCAAAAGTAGTGGAATCTCTCGCCCTGCTGCGTCAACAAAGTTTATGGACACTTCTTTTGCCAAGGTGAAGTCCAGTAAATCTTTTGTCACTGACCTTACCAACAATGTAACTGAAGTCCTAGAAAAGACCAAGCTTTTCTATGGGTATTTGATGAAAGGAAGCAAGCTAAACTACGCAAAGGAGGTAATTGTAAATGCCGAACTAGTGGTTAGCAACTTTTCGATAACCCGTTTTGTTCTTGAAGATCTTGAAACTCTATCGTGTGTTATAACAATGAGGTTTAGTGACACCCTTGGCATTCACACTACCAGAAATGAAAATATACTTAAAAGGTTTGTCTTTGATTGCCTTTTAGAGTTCTTGGATTCGAAATGCGTTTTCAAGACGTGGGCAAAGTTACCACCTTTCACGAACGAGGAGACGTTAGTGTTTGAGATTCTTGAGGAGGTCAAATTGTGGATGGGAATGAAGGGTTGGGCTCATGACGAGCTGTTGGATTGGGACATGAGTCATTCGTTAGGGGAGTGGACTGGTTTTGGGATTGATAAAGCGTTTGAATGTGGTGCTGAAATTGGTCAACTTATACTCCATAGTTTGGTTGACGAAGTTGTAAATTACCTCTGAAACATTCTCCAGAAATATCTTAGGAAGATTGTACAAATGGAGCTTAGTAGTCAAAAGAATTTGCATTGTAACCATGATCTTCATTAATTTTCTCTCGGGTTTGTTTAGATAATTGATTCTATCATTTATATATATCGATTTTAAGTCACCTGTTGCATCATAAAGTGAAAACATCCGGGGTTTACTAGTACACAACTACACATCGATTTTAAGTCACCTGTTGTAAGTATGAAGATTTTATTGCCACTCAAACATTTCACTTATCTCAAACACAAATTTGAAATTCACCTTTAAATTCTTGGAGAAGTCTATAAGTTCATCTGTTTGAATTAACACAATCTTAGTACGGTATTAGAATTAATAAAACACCATTGAGAAAATAAGATGTAGTCAAACTAAACAATAGTTATACATTGGCCGGCCGTAGCTTCTCCCCTGAGACTTTCCCATTGGCCGGGGAGTGATGGAGTTCCGCTGCATCTGGAGTCGGCTTCAATCTTCAGGGGTTTAATTAGCAAAGGGTAAAATTGTAATCCTTAGTCCTATTTAGGGAATTAAAAATTTAATGTCCTATTTAGGAATTTAGTCCATGTTTTAGTCCCATTTTGGGCAATTTCTTTTTTTACTATTCTTATTTATCACCTAATTCAAAGAGTGCAAAGTCCATGAGACAGATGTAGTATTATGTAATAGATTCAAATATGGTCAAAGGAACAATTTTTTTGTGGAAAAGGTCGGTACATGAAGTTGCACCTTGTAGATTAAAGGGTACAACATCTTGCGAATCAAACGCAACGGTACATATAATCACATGTTTAGTGTTAAACTAGTACACAAACGAACGCGCCGTTCAAAAATGTTATCGTGACAATTTAGATCCGTTTTCTTCGTACATGGTGGAGGCTGACTCAACATCATCCCATCCTCCCTCTTTTGGGATTGGTGCAAAAAAACAGGGGGTAACCAGGCTGCCTCGTGCGTATGAATTAAACCCTAACGGCTACTGGTTCTGCTGCGGTGGTCTTTGCCTTGTGTCTCTAGTGAAGAGTAGAGGAGTGAGACCCCCAATGCTGCAAGCTGTCTAGCGGCCCTTAATGGCAAAGCTTGGGAAAAATCAAAGACTCCCTTCGGATCTGACGTTCGAGCAACACATATGAGGTTCTCAGCCCATTTCGTCACTCCTGCTGCGGTAGCGACCCTCCAGAGCAAACTAGCGAGCTTCACCTGATTATGCACGGCGGAGCCCCGGACAGCGACAACCTAGATGACGACAACACACGACTTGGACCTGGAGGAACAAACTAAGAGCGGTTGTGTCGCGATGGATTTTGAGGAGTTTTGTTGGGCGCTATCGAGTGGCAGAGCCGGTCACGAGAAGCGCGCAGAAGGTGGTGGAGCTCAACCAGATCTTCACTCCAGATAGTTACCCCTGTAGCTTTACCGTTGACTACCCTTTAAACTCCATATAGCCAATATGTCCCCTCACTCCCTCATCGTTGAACATTCAAAAATGAGCGAGACTAATCGCTGAACATGCGAGAGCTTCGAAGCTATTATCGGTCAGATTAACACGGTTGTTTCCACTCAATCTCACAACAAAGACACTCACAACTTCCAATTATTAACCAAATAAAAGAGTACGAGATAGCAAGAAATAAAACATGAACGAAAAGATAGAGAATAGATCTTCGATCCGCCTTCGATCCCTTACTCTTCGGTAGCTCCAGGGTGGGGGTTCAGAAGGGGGGCGGACCGTCAATACTCCGCCTTCCTTGTTCATCTTGTCATCCTTGTTCATCTTGTCATCCCTTCTTGTCTGTGGCCTTTTCTTGTCTCTTGCATTGCCGTTCATCATGATTGGAACAAATCTGTCCTTCTTTCTGGCGGCTAAGGTTTGCATCTAACTTGTTGTGTTGCCCTCCATTTCCCCGCTACTCTCTCACTACAAAAGCTAAACAAAACTCAGACGCCAATGACCTTGCACGGTCCAAATCCTAGCCGATGACCAAACACAGCTCCAAAACCCTGTCACACCAAGACCTTCTTTTTCGCTTTCTAAGATCAAATGAACAATTAAACCATCTTAAAACATTGAAAATACATTTTTTGTGAAAATCTCACTCTTGAAAAGCCGCTCTCGACGCATGTTCTCCCTTCCTACTCTCCCATCTTACACAGGACAGCCTAGGGAGACGAGCATAATGTTTGTTTTAGAATGAAAAGTACTATAGATTCCTCATTTTGGGGTACTCCATTTTTACTCACCTTATTGTGTGGCTCAAATAGAGCAATTCATTTAAGTGAGAGAACTCATTTAAATGATTGGCTCATTTGAACCGCGCAATGAGTGACGTAAAAATGAGGTACCCAAAATGGAGTATAACAAGCAAGACTCCTTTAGAACCGGACAGAGAACCCATTCCTAAAATATGGTAAAAACCAAAATATAAAAAATATAATGCCTGTTGGGACGAACCGACGAACAATGAAACAAAGCAAGTATCACCATTCACATCTCATGAGCTATGTTTCGTTTTAGGAAATCCCTCCCCCAATGTCAACTGAGTTCTATTTTTCCTCGTTTCACAAAAGACAAAACAAAGAATTGAAGACAGAACATACAAACACTTCCAAACGATGCATTAAATTCATCTAAATGAAATCACGGATATGATCATAGGAGTACATATTTCAAACCAGAAAAAAAGGAAACCTTTGCTCTATACACAGTGGAAACTTATATCTATAGAAGAACCATTCTCTCAGGTAATAACATACAAAAAATATACCGTGTATCAAAGAATCAACAAAGAAACAGAAAATGAATTGAAGTGTAGAAAAACCCATTCTCAAGAAATCATCATCATCACCACCATCATCACCCATTTCAAGATTCAGAGCTGTCGATGGCCTAAGACAGTCTTGGAACCACCCACTCTACTACTATTACTTCTTCCAATCCCAGCAGCCCTACTGTCTCCATTAATGGCATTCCTAGCAGCAGAAGCCAACCCTTTGAATTCGTCCAAACAAGCGTAGCTCTTCCTAGCCATCAACCCCCCACCGCTCCTCTTATCCCCTGAATTCATCGATTTGCTCCCAACACCACCAAAAAGCTTCCCACTTTTCCTCCCCGGCGGAGGAGGCGTCGCCGACTTCTCAACCACCGGCGGCATCGGCGCTGGCGGCTTCCGGTTTTCTTTCCTCAACGCATATGAGAAATCCGGCACTGACTGGGTCAAAGCAGAGTAACTCTTCGTTCTCTTCGGCGGGGTGGCCATATTCCCCTGATTCCCCTGAAACTTGACCTGTTTCTTGGGAGGAGTCAAAACAGAGTCTTCTTCTTCTTCCATATAAACCGGCTGTTTCATGTGCCTCATTCTGAGCTTCGATTCTCTCAGATCGGCATATGCTCTGTACCTCGGGCCTCTCTCGAACAGAAAGCTCTCCGTCGTGAGCTGAAGAAACCGCGGCAGATCGGAGTTCGAAAACTGCGAGAGAAGCAGAGATTTTGGATCGAGAGATTCCCCCATTATCAATAAGCGTTTCTTGATTCTCTCTAGCAGCAGCTGCCGCTCAGGTTTGAGGTTTAGAGGTTATGTTTTTTCTTCTTCTTGGAAGTTGATATTACAACGGTCGGATGAAGGAAAGTCGGGAAAGGCGTATCAGTTTTGAACGTTTAATAGTCAGAGAGAGAGAGAGAGCTGAATGATGGCGTCTTTCCTTTGTTTTAACCGTTTGAAATTATCAACGGGTGGGCCCTATAATTATCCTTTAAATTGAGTCCAACCGGACCGGAGAAGATCTCGCGTCCGGTTTGTAGCCTGCCCGTGTACAGTATATAGCTCCACCGTCAGCTTGGAAGGTTAATGTTGCCATCCCATTTGAGTATGAATCCTAATAGCCAAATAGTCGTAATCAACCGTATAATGTAATTAGCAGGGGCGGACCCAGGAAAGTCATTTTGTAGGGGCGAAAATATTTTGGGGGGTTCAAAATACTTTTTGGAAGAACAAAAATTATTTTTCGTATATATATACACTAAAAAAAAATTTGTTGGGGGGGGGGGGGGGGGGGGGGGGCGATAGCCCCCCTGGGTCTCTACTACGGTCCGCCCATGGTAATGAGCATTACTTGCTAATTCAAATATGATGTTTTATATATCATTTTGTTTTAAATTGTAATGTAATGATAATTACATATGAGAAAATCATTAGCTTTATATGTGTAATCAGTTTTACATTAGAAAATGTGTGTATTTGAGATTACTTCTGGCATCATGTACTGCATTGATGGTTGGTCTCCATACTTGTGCACTCTATTCTTCATTTGCTTCTTAACCATAGTATCAATTTATTTCTTATTCATCCCTTAATTTTTTACCTACGAAGTATATTATATATTAGTAAAATGAATTTGCTTTCTTTATTTTGTTTATTATAACATCATTAGTTTAGTTTATATTCCAATAGGCATCTCACTATGGTTATTATTTGTCAAACATAATTATGTAATATTGATTACATTTCATAGTTGTTACGGAGTATTACTTAAGTAACCAAACATAGTAATGGAATATAGATTTCATTCCATTACACTACATTTTGTATTGCATTACACACTTCAATTACATTTCATTGCATTACATCATAGCAAACATAGCCTAATTCAAACTTGTATTCTAAAAGTGATCATAACATTTACATACTAGGCAATGACATCTGTGTATAAAAAGATGAAATCTCTTAAGTCACACTGTTACATAAAATGGAGAAATATGATCATCATTGTTTTATTAATAAAATATGAGGCGTTCACTCTTAATTATGTAAACTTTATACTTTTAATACGATTTAAAAAACCCTTTTTTGAAAATTAATTATGGATACTCATATTATGGACTTTTATTATGTTATAGTCTTATTTGGAAGAATTTCTTATACAAATTACATATACAAATACAAATACATGAAGTATTATATAGAGGTAATTTGAGTTTGCATCCCATTTTATTGTCCAAAATGGAATTTGCACCTTGTTTTTAAAAACTTTTGTATTTACACCCCAATCCCGTATGAAACTACAAAAATGCCCCTCCATTAACAATTTTGTTGGCCTTTACCATTGATAGAGTATATGAGCCCATACCCAATGACCCACATACTCAAAAAACTAAATACAAAGACAGCTGGCACCCACGTGATCCTCCATCGACCAAATGGCCCTCTATCGATCGAATACCTACCAACCAGGATATGGTCCAGAAGCTCAAGAGCAGAACTTGGTCCTTCATTAGCCAGGCCATCCATCGGTCTGGTCCTCCTTCGGCCAAAAATGCTCCTGTAGACTAGATCTTATACTTAGTCAAATAAGTCATGTAATCAACCCATTAGAGATCTTATTTTATCCGAGCCTCCCAGGACCAAGACATGAGAGTTCAAACTCATATTTATCCTATAAATACTCTCATAGGGGTCGTTGTAGGGAGTTGAGAAATATTAATTGTTCACTTTCTCTCTTTAGCTCTCACTTCCCTCCGAGATTAATATTCTGTCAACCATATTCCTGATCAGGAGCGTTTTGTTTTTTCATATGAGGTTGGGGTGCAAATACAATGGTTTTTAAAAATAGGGTGCAAAGTCCTATTTAGGCAATAAAAAAGGGTGTAAAGTCCAATTGAAGGAACTAATAAGCTACTTGGTTTACACTAATGGTTGCAGGTAGTCGGACGAAAATCACTACGCATGAGTATTTTCTAAAAAGTTATTTTCCAGAACTATGTGTGAGTTAATTTAGACACTCAGATAATATTATTATGCTCTCTCAAAAAAGAAAAGATAATATTGTTATGCAAGTAGTACCAATTTACGAATTTCACTGTAAAAGTTATTCTCTAATCTTATAACACTTGTGGGTATAAGCTATATTTATCAAAATTGGTGAATTTGTTTTGTGTATAAACAAGTTATTCATATAACCAAGCATTTCAGTCCAACTGATTGTGAGGTTACTGTGCCTAATGGTTTGAAACCCGTTAGGTACATAACGGTTTGAAACTCAATGGAGTGAGTTTCAACCCTTATTACTTCAGGCCCCCAGACCCCTCCCCCAAACAAGTTATTCATACAAAAAATTGTTTACCCACCAATGTGACTTAAGGAGTGTTTGGATCTGATTCTTAAAACTGATTCTGCTCCTTCAGGGAGCAGAAACAGAAGTTGTGGTGTTTGGGTGAAAGTACATAAGTAATTCCGATGCTCTTATTTACTCCTAGAATCGATTTTTTTAGAAGTCGAGAGTGACCAACTCCTGAAAATTGATTGTACTTCAGCTTTAAAAAAGAAACAAAACCAGTTCTAAACATCCCTTGATCGGAGAGTGGGTGTGACAAGAATGGGTTGCAGCACTAATCATAGGGACTAGGGAGTACAAAAAACGAGTGAACCGAAACAGAGTTGAATTATGCATCAGCTTCGTCAGTAACTTAGCAAGTTTTGCTCTAAGTAAATTTACAATTTATGTTTCAGAAATTTCCGCTTCGCTCTGATTTCAACTGACTCTTCAAAGTTACTCTCTCATCCGTTTCTTCACCTTCTGCTTAAGTTCTTGGCCACATTTTGCCAGCACAAATTCAAACTCTCATTGCGTTTGGATGTTGCATTCTGTCGTCGTTATCAGCTCTCCTTTCGGTAAGTCCTGCTCTCAGATTCACTGAGCATTCCTTACTTCCTACACCTCCATCTTATCGCTTCTCCGTTTGGATCGGATGTTTTTATCAGTCTCGTTTAACTTCAATTTGCTGAGGTTTTTCCGTTGATGTTCTGAAAATAATCTGCATTACAACTCGCTTTCTGTAGACGAAGCATTGCATGTTGTCTCTGAATTGGATTTTCGGAGAATTATGATGTGTGCTTCGCTAGCCTTAGTAATTGCTTTTTTACCGCGCTGATGACTCTTTGGTAAATACATTTACTAGCGTTGACAAGTGAAACTGCAAATATGCAAGCCTCAGCATTTACAGTCAAAGGAGACGCTCGATTTGGACGTCAGATTCGCTATCGGGGTTTAGAAGGATCTAAAACCTTCAACGGCGGGAGGGGTTTAGCCCGTAGCAACCTCCACATGACAGGGAGGACTAGTTGTTTTGGCGTCAAGCTCGACTCTGCTTCCATGGGAATCGAGCTAGGCAGGGCTCGTTTGAGGGTACAGAGTGTCTTCGGAGCATCCGCCAAGCACAGGACGATCACTGCTCACGCATCTGGTTTGTGATTGAACTCTCTATTGTAAATTGATTTGCTGCACAAAATAAATGGTGAAATTATGCCCCTCCATTTATCATTATGACCAATTATTACCAATTTTTATTGTCACTAGGTATGCAACTTTGCACTGACATTGTCTGATTTTTCCTGATTAGGAATGTGAAAAGAGAACCATATGCTTCTTTAGTTACATATATAATGGTTACTTCTTCACATATCATTTTAACCTACCAATTATAGAGTATAATTTTGATCTGGGAATAGTATTCAAAATCTAGTAAATCTGGATTGTAAAGTACATTTGTGTGTACTAGCCCTCGTTTTCATGTGAGAGACTTGCCAATTGTTTATGAGCTTCATTATATCTTACTTCCAAAGTTTGCCCGAGCATATACTTTTGAGTTAATAAGTACCATCTCAAAAGCTCTCACCATCTTTGATCTTGATTGACAGAAGGAGATATCGACTCAGTCACACCCCTCAAAGGCAAAGAGAGGTCATCAGGTTCAGTGCTTCCATATGTTGGTGTTGCGTGTTTGGGAGCAATTCTTTTTGGATATCATCTAGGGTATCACCTCTTTCGTTTAATTACTAAATGATTGAATCTACATGGTCACTGTTTTTGCTTTCTCTTTTACCCAGGGGCGGAGAGAGGATCTCATATTCTCATAATATGGGGGGCTGTTATTAATGTAACATAAAATATAGAAACATTCGTACACTTAGAATTCTTCGAGACTTTGTAGAATTGTAGGGCAATTCAAACTCATTCTTTTATGACATGTTTGGGTAATGCTTAGGAAAGGAAAAGTGGTGCTATGAAATGATATTTTTGTGTTTGGTATGAATAATATTTTTAATTTTATTTGAATATATTCAGATATATTACTCTCTAATTATACAAATAGACATATAATATGAATTTTATCTCACGTCAAAGTTAATTTATAAGATTTGATTAAAAAAATTAGATCCACCCTGTTTTTTCCCAATATATTTCAAGATCAAAACAGAGTCTTACTGATTGAGTTCTTTTATCTTCATAAGAAATGAGTAAAGTAATAAATTAAAGTTTAAATATCTATCAATCATAAATAATACTATGTATCACTTTAATGTAGTACAATATGATAATAATTAATACTCCGTAAATATATTACTCCGTAACATTTAACTGCTTGTACATAAAAATTTAATCACTAAATACTATAAAGCCTTTTGTATATTTACTATAATAGTATAAAAAATTTAAAAGTTTGGGGGGGGGGGGGGGGGGGGGGGCCCTACCCATAAGCATACATCCGCCCCTGCTTCTACTTCTTCTACATATAAAGAATATATGCCTACATGGCAATGATAATGCATATGTGTGTACATGGCAATAATAATGCATTTGAATTCAATGCGTATCAATTCGATGGTAATTCTGCAACCACTCAAAATCTTAATAGTTTAGATCTGTCTGTTTTACTTGAACTAATTCTTTTTCTAATTTGCTTAAGAGTTGTTTGTCTGGATGGTGCAGAGTGGTGAATGGTGCTTTGGAGTATTTGTCCAAGGATCTTGGTATTGCGGAGAATACTGTAGCACAAGGCAGGTCTTCTATGTGTTGTGGTTTATGATATACCCCGTATTAAGTATTAACTATTAGCCCCGTTTGTGACTGAATAAGCATTTTGATCTGTTGTTCTACCTTTTCCAGAATATGCGATGTTATTGCTTTGCATTGTTGATTTGCAGTATTAAAATACTGGCTACAGAAAGGGTAATGCATATATGTTTTTCATGTACTTGAACTCTTGACAGGGTGGATTGTTAGTGCAAGTCTTGCTGGAGCTACTTTTGGTTCATTTACCGGGGGAACATTGGCTGATAAATTTGGCAGAACAAAGTCATTTATTTTGGATGCAATTCCATTAGCAATTGGTGCTTATTTATGGTATTTTCCTTAAGGTTGATACTTATTTACAATATTTATGTTGAGAATTACTTTCAGTTCCTCAGTATGGTCTTACCAATTTCCAGTGCCACAGCTCAGAGTGTAGAAACTATGATCGTTGGCCGCTTACTTGCTGGATTAGGAATTGGGATCTCTTCGGCTATAGTTCCTCTTTATATATCAGAGGTGTAAAGCTGTCGACATTCTTGTGCATATGAATTTGATTATTTTTTTTGAAATTGACATTATTATTTTTGTTTGTTGTTGTTTCTGTTTAACTAACAAATATTCTGCCTTTAGATCTCACCAACTGAAATTCGTGGTACGCTGGGGTCTGTCAATCAGTTGTTTATTTGTGTTGGGATTCTTGCAGCACTTGTTGCAGGACTGCCTTTAGCCGGAAATCCACTGTGGTAAGTTTCTCAATTGTGCTCAGAGAACATCATACTGGCTTAACTATAATCTTTTAAAAGGGATCAACTTATTTCAACTATGCAACCCAAGAACTCCTAGGCTCTGTTTAACTCTCAATCTAGTTGGGCTTGTGTCATCCTTTTAAGCTTATAGCTCTGCTAAAATAAAGTGTAAACTTCAGTTTGAAATGGAAGTAATATTACAAATATATGTGACTTGATCTGGCATATCAAAATGATCCCAAGAACCTATTTGTTATAAACTTTTGGCAGTAAAGTTTCGGGAATGTATTTTAATTGCCAAATTTTTTTATTTAGACACACGTGCTTTCTTCAAGCTGGAAAATCTTATCACCTAATCAGCAATGATGTCATTATCTACTTAACTGCCTTAAAAGAAGATACTTTCTCATTGAAAAAATTCTTGCTGGTAATTCAGACACTGAAATATATTACCCCTTCTGTCCTGGTTCCTTCGTATCTTTTGCTTTTGATAGTACTTCTTATGCAAGTGAAATTGCATTATTGATATTTATTTAGAAATGAACTAAATAATATCAACCACACAATTCTTTCATTAAGCAATGGGAAAAGCTTTTAGGATGAGGAAAAGAAGAAGTCTGAAGAATGTAGGAGCCAGAGGTAGTATGCCTTTGTTGCCATCATGACAAGATTTCACACTCATGATAGGTTAGCAAGTTTAGTGGATTGTAATGGTTACTTTAGTATAGTGTCACCGTGGGTTAAAGTAGAGATGAACAAACTATACAACATTTAAGATATCCCGCTGGTTTGTTCTTATATTTTTATGTTTTTGGGCTTAATTGTTTGGCATTTGCTGCCCATTAATGAATGGGAGACCAGATAAAAGTGGCATCACAAAAGGATGTTGAATCCTCTGTGTTTCTTCCATTCAAATTGTTCATGATATTTAAAATTTGTTATGCATCAACCACTTTTGGCAATTGACATTTAAATTTGTAATTCATCAACCACTTTTGGTAATTGATAATTACTCCTGTTTTAATGTTTCATCCTATTCTTTGGGTCCTACATAAAAACTCCTTTTTTCATTCATAATAAGGCATCAAACTTGTCATCCTAGACTGACTGAAAATATGAGTATTATGTTTGCCTTATTGGGTAACAGTTGCTGCTCCTGTTATTCTATTATTCATTGTTATTTATGTTCTCTTATTTGCAGGTGGAGGACAATGTTTGGTATTGCTGTTATTCCTTCTCTTTTACTTGCACTAGGAATGGCCTTTTCTCCCGAAAGTCCTCGGTGGCTTTATCAGGTTTCCTTTGATAGATTTTGGGCTATGCATAATTGCATACTACATAATGACATCTTTCTTTATGATCTGCGGCTTCTTTATTCATTTAGCGCGTGCATACAATAAATCACTAACTACCTCATACTTGTTCTAAATAAGGCACCTGTGTATTGCAGCAAGGGAAGATCCCTCAAGCTGAAACATCAATAAAAAGACTTTTTGGAAAAGAAAGGGTTACTGAGGTAATGAATGATTTCAATACAGCTTCTCAAGGCTCTTCAGAACCAGATGCTGGGTGGTTTGATCTTTTTAGCAGCCGGTATCGGAAAGGTATTCCTTTGTGATTAAGCTATAGGTGAATATGATTTTGTGGCATAAATGGTGAAAACAGAAAATAAAAATCAACGGAATAAACCGTTGCCCAAAATAATCAACGATAGAAACCGTTGCTCAGAGCCAAAAGGCTTAACTCCAATTTTATTCATAGATGATCCTTAATGAATCCTAACAAGGGGTATAAATAGCCTTCTAGCAATAGCCTCACAGAAATCCTAATTGAGTCCAAATTAAGTAAACCCTAATTAGGCCCAAATTTACTCTATTAAATACTCTACTAATAATAGGACCAAACTAGAAGACATAACATAAACTTTATAATAATAAATAAAACTATAATCCTAGCCCACAGAGGTGGGCCCAAGCCTGTTCCCGCCCCCCTGTTCTCCCTACTCTCTATCAATCCATCCTACTTCAAAATAACCTTGTCCTCATGGTTGAAAGCTCGTAGTTCGAGAGCTGAACATTCCAGCCATAGAATAGACCGGAAAATATCTCTCATCTCCTTTCGGACCCCTTGGTCTTTCTGAACTTTTTGCTGGCCGATTATTTCACAATAATCATGATGTTGGAGGTCCAGCTCCTCATGCTCCTCAGCTATCATTGCCCGTAATTGCTTAAAGGGGCAGTCATGCCCCGGTGTAAGTCGAGTGAACCTAAAGCATGCAGTGGACTGCCCGGACAGCACTGAATTTTTCCCCGGGGACTGCCCAGTATCTTTAGTAAAGCTGCCACTTGATCCCTTGAAGCTGCCACTACTTATGGCCGTGGTGTTACCGCCACTCGGACGCGAAAAACTGCCCGAATGCAAGTCTGTGTTGTAGGGTTGGCTTTCCCGGCCTTCATCTTGAAAGCAGAGGTTGTCGTCAATATCTCTTGCCAATTCCATTGCTATCTTCAGGCTGTTTGGCCGCAACAACCGTAAGGATCCACAAATCGATCCTTTTAGCCCGTTCATGAAATATCCCAAATAATGGTCATCAAACAGTCCAAGAACTTGCCTGGCCAATTGAACAAATTGGGTATTGTATTCTTCCATGGTACCGATCTGTTTGAAGCCGGACAGCCGTTCAAACCCGTTCCCCTTAAACCGGGAGTCGAATCTGGTCACCAAGCCTTGCTTAATTTCCTCTTAGGTCATGTCGGGTTTGCACGCTCTCAGCCAGGTTACCCAGTAGAGGGCACCCTCTTCCATAGCAACCACAGCCGCTGCCACTTTTCTGTCCGGTAGGGTGCCGTTTAGTTCAAACTGTTGTTCAACCCTAGCCACCCACCCAATCGGGTCTTTGCCGTCGAACGAGGGTAGCAGGGCGGTTGTCGTGCTACACAATCCTCCGCCGTTTGAGTGTGCAGATGCGGCATGCGCAGATGAGGCACTGTCGCTGGCCCTTCTCCGGCGGGTACTATGGCCTTCGCGATCACAGCAAGAGAAGCTGCGATCTCTGCTAGCTGGGTGCCATGCTTTTCTAATTTCTACCCTTGCGCGTCGAGTTTCTGATTGATTAGGGCTTGCTCGGCCTCCATCTCTGTCAAGCGATCGCTGTGAGATCTCTTCATTCTGACGGGATGAAATTCGCCAGGTCAGACCAATTGTGGAAAACATAAAATAAAAATCAACGGAATAAAGCATTGCCCAGAATAATCAACGATAGAAACCGTTGCCTAGTGCCAAAAGGCTAAACTCCATAGATGATCCTTAATGAATCCTAACAAGGGGTATAAATATCCTTCTAGTAACAGACTCACAAAAACCCTAATCGAGCCCAAATTAAGTAAACACTAATTATGCCCAAATTAACTCTACTAAATACTCTACTAATAATAGGCCCAAACTAGAAAACATATCATAAACTTTATAATAATAAATAAAATTATAATCTCAGCCCACGGGGGTAGGCCCGAGCCTGTTCCCGCCCCTGTTCTCACTGCCCTCTAACAATAAATGACTGTTTTTCTATATTATATGGCTTCCTCATTCACTATAGAAATGTAGAATCAAGTGCTAATATTTCTTGCATGACCACTTATATTGAAGAATGAGGCTTGTAATATGCATTGTACTTTTGCCAGCATGGATGAACCGATGAAGTATTTCCATCATTTCTAATGGAATCAAAGACTCACTATTTTTTGGCTTGGGAATATGATGGAATAAAGCAAAGTGACTCACTAAATTCTTTGCGCTTCTTTGTTATGAAGCAGCAGTCGGTCCATGCAATTTTTGACACGATTTTCATCATGGGTGATCCGGAAATAGTCTCTCTGTACTTCAGTACAAGAGTAAGACTGCGTACATCCGACCCCCCCTTATCCCATCATAGGTGGGGAGCCTTTGCGGCACTGGGGTAATGTTGTCATTGGATGAACCAATGAAGTAGTATATTGCATCTTTCCATTTGCACATTTTATATGCATTTTCTGGGATTTAGATGCAACCCAACTGCACATGCATAAGCCCAAGATGTTCCTCAAAATGATCCTTAAACCCTAGTAGCTCCCTTATTAATAGAAAAGGAAGTCTCTTGATAAGAGGTCACTGCTATGTCTTTTTTGCCAAGCATATGAGTCTTCATTTATGGCTTCCAAACATTATTTTTCATGGACACATATCTCTCTCCACTTATATAATAAACCAGCCTGCACTGATCTGTCATGGATGATGGAACTGCCAAAAGGCCGATCAATTTTACCGAAAATATCTGTTATATCTAAAACTATGTATGATTATGCGCACTGTTTTTAAGCATTATTCGTTAGGTTGTACTGAGCTCATTGAATTAATTTATAAACATTACGCAACCATGTTTTGCTTGAAAATGCTATTTCAAAGCCACTATATTAAGCACAATTTGTTCTTTGTTGATGTCCATTATATACACACACACACAAATATTCTTGTCCGGCCAGGTCGGACAGGAGGGTAGTTTGGCCACCTCGGTTTGAGGTGGTTTCCGGTGGTATTTTTTGTTCAAACTTTTTGAGTATGTTGTTCCCCATGAAGTGTACGTCATGGGGATAACTGTGTTTTACATGTATATTTTGGCGCAGTTATCTTTCAAAAATTATTTGATTGCCTTCTTGATTGATTTTTTTGCTCAAATTTGGTGGACATTATCATCTACACTTCATGGGGAACATGTTCAAAACATTTCATCAAAAAATACCACCAGGAACCACCTCAAAATGTGGTGGCCAGACCACCCTCCTGTCCGGCATAGCTGGACAGGAATACTACACACACACATATATATCTGTATATATTCCTTAGTACGGTGAATTCCCATGCATGGTGTCCATTATATTGAACATATGTGGTAATCTTATAATCTTAAGCCTATTGTCAATGAGCAGTTGTCAGTGTTGGGGCGGCGTTGTTTTTGTTCCAACAGTTGGCTGGGATTAATGCTGTGGTATACTATTCTACTGCTGTATTTCGGAGTGCTGGAATTACATCTGATGTAGCAGCGAGTGCTTTGGTTGGAGCATCCAATGTATTTGGTTAGTCTTTTGTTGTTTTAATGGACATCTTTGAAAACTGCCACAAATCATCTTGCAATGTTTATTTTCCTTCCAGGCACAATTGTGGCATCTTCTTTGATGGATAAGCAAGGAAGAAAGAGTCTTTTGCTTACAAGCTTTTCTGGAATGGTAATAATGTTTGCACGTTTAGAGTATTACTCCTCCGTGCCCCTAACATTGGTACAAGAGGAGCGGTGCGGTTGTCAAGAAAAGTGAATTTATGTGGTTGATATTGAATTGATAAAGTGAGAATAAAGTAAGACAATTTAAAACCACACAAATGTTAATGAGACACACTAAAAAGGAAAGATGGGGCAGTCTTAGCAGGATGTAGGGAGTATTAATTAATTTGTTGTTTTTCTTGCTGTTTCTTTGGTGACAATTGGACTCGGGAACACTCATACTTTATTCAGTCAACCTGCAATTTATGTTGAGTCATTATTGAATGCGTCTGAAGTTAAGATTGAGTTGTGAAGTGGGAATGTGGAGGTTCCACCTTGTGTACTCCTCAAAAAAGTATTTGCTTGGATATTACTACTCCAGCTGGGCTTAATTTGGTCCATGCATTATCCTTATGATTTTAAGTAAGTTATTTGTGGCTGTTGAGCGCCTTCTCATGGTGGAAATGGTCATGATGGATTGGACTTGTAATGCAAAGACAGTAATCTTCGGTAACTGTTGTATCAATGTTTATTCGATTCAATCCATCTTTGATTTCTTTTCGAACATGATATCCTGTTTATGGGCTACCTTTAATCATCATTTTCATTTTCATTTACCCCAGTGCCGCAAAGGCTCCCACCTACGGTGGGGTAAGGAGGGGTCGGATGTACGCAGTCTTACCCATGTACTAAAGCACAGATAGACTGTTTCCAGATGACCCATAGTGAAAATCGCGTCCAAAATTGCATGGACTGACTGCTGCTCCATAACAAAGAAGCGCAGACGGTTTAGTGAGCCATTTTGCTTTATTCCATCATAATCTCAAGCCAAAAAATAATGAATCTTTGGCTCCATTGCAAATAATGGGATACCTTTAATGTTGGGAATAAATTGAGTTTACATTTTAAAATGCTCCATAAGAATTTCTTCATAAACAAAGTATTACAAAATGACATGATCTTTTTTGCCATACATGCTCACTGTCAAACCTGTTCGGAACTTCTTTTCTTGTGTTATATTTATATATTTACCATGGAATCTTTCCGTCTAATCGATCTGTTCTTGTTTGAAGGCGGCATCAATGCTATTGCTTTCCCTGTCCTTTACATGGAAGGCATTGGCACCGTATTCTGGGACACTTGCTGTTGTTGGCACTGTTCTGTAAGTACTTCTCTTGCGTGATTCATCTTTATACTCACAAGCACTAATGAGATTTTCCCTGGTCTGCTTGTGGCTTCTGACGTGTGTTTCTTTTTATAATGATGCAGTTATGTCCTGTCCTTTTCACTTGGCGCTGGTCCTGTGCCTGCTCTTTTACTTCCTGAAATATTTGCCTCTAGAATTAGAGCAAAAGCGGTAGCCTTGTCCTTGGGAATGCATTGGGTAAGTCATGATCATAATATCATATACTTTATAGTACCTTACATACATGCGACTATTATTTTGAAAATATAGGGTAGTTAATTATAGGCACTTTTGGTTACAAACTCATTTTTATTTGGTGCTGTTTGACAGATATCGAATTTTGTGATTGGTCTGTATTTCCTGAGCGTAGTTAATAAATTTGGGATCAGCACGGTATACCTGGGCTTTGCTTCGGTGTGTGCTCTTGCAGTAATATACATAGCTGGGAATGTGGTCGAGACAAAGGGTCGCTCTCTTGAAGAGATAGAGCGGGCTCTCTGTCCAGCCTGAAATAATGTTATAATAACATGGGGAAAGTAGTGCGCTGTGCGCCACCTGAAGAAAATACTTATGATGTTTGCCATCTTTCAGTGTATGCCTCTTCTTCTTTGGTTGTACTTGTAATTATGAGATGTGCAAACCATTTGTTCTGCAATTAACATGGTATGGTAACTCTGGAACCGGAACCAGTGGTCCTCGAAAGGAACCAAGCCACTCGTGTAATGTTTTGGTTAAGGTTTCGGACTTTTGGGTTAACGAGGACCAAAAACTGTAGTTTTGGTTCTGGATTGGAGTTTTCCCGCCACAACCAACAGTTTTGAATCCGGATCGGATTTTATTTTTATTTTTTGGGACTTCCAGCACAATAGTTGGCCCAATTACTGATGAATATCCATTGATATCGGTGGGTGGTTGGGATGCTGAAGAATGTAAAAAGAAAAGGAGGTTAGGTACCATCCGGATTCCGGACCTTGAACTGTTGAACAGGAAGTGGTGTCTACCATTCTGCCAGTTCTGGTTACAGTTCCCTTGTTCACAGAAAAAGAACTACCGGTTCTGGAAATGGACTAAACCTCCCCGTATCCATAATTCCATATGTAATTGTAACTTGCAAGTCCAATTTAACTGTGAAGGCGAGAAGGAAATAAAAAAGCGTAGAATATTGTTATACTTGTGGATAATAATATCCTAAATTTGTCAGTTCTTCACATCTTAATCCTCATTCCTCAAGCAAACAAGACTTAAGGTCATGCAATGGGCTATAATGTCTTTACCCATGCACCCAAAAAAGGACAATAATGTAGTCTTGGACACAGATACATCAAACTAATCAAAAGGTTAACAAAATCAAATTCCATAACAAATGTTCTTCCCAAAAGCACAAACCTCAAGATTCGGGAATGAACCTTTGCATCAAATATTTTCTTATACAATCAATCCGTTTCAAAGCCTTCAATCATGCAATTAGCCAATTGTTACCTTATTTTTTCACTTGCAAATTACGGAGTAACATTGATCAAGTTTTATAAGATGGAATGAATGTTTGTTAACAGCAGTCATGGGCTCCTCCTTCCGACTGCTTAGTATTCAATCCGGCTATATATAGACCCTAGTTGGCGGCAAAGAAGAGGAATGGGCAGAGGAAGCATACACCAGCAAGGAGGGTGAAGTGAGGCTGGAAAAAATGAGCAGAGAACTGGGAAGGAGTAAGGGTGCACTAGGCTGGTTCGAACCGGCCCGGAACCTGAACCGGACCGTCATTCTGCGGTACCGGCCCGGAACCCGGACCGGACCGCCATTCTGCGGTACCGGCCCGGACCGCCATTCTGCGGTACCGGCCCGGACCGCCATTCTGCGGTACCGACCCGGACCGCCATTCTGCGGTACCGGGCCCGGGACCGGGCTTTTGGGCCCGAACTGGGGTAGGGGGGGGCTACCGTGACCGGCCCGGCCGGTCCGGGACCGGTCTGGGCCAACAATCACATATTTAAAAAAAAAAATTAATGCTTTATAGGCTTCTAGCCGTTGGAGGACTCCAAATGGCTCTATAGTTGTTGGAGGCTCTTGGGGGCGGGGTTGGGGGGTATGGAGGACTCCAAAAAAACTATATATACTCCTAATTTCTAAACATTTTTCTACACCTGTCCTCCGATTCTTCCTACTCTCTAATACTCTTTAATCATCTCCAATTCTCCATTTTCATCTTCTCCAATTCTCTCATTATCTCTACACCTATTAATATATTGATCATATTATTCATATCTATTTAAATTACTTATACAATTACTAGTATTTTATCTACTTATATATTTATTATCTACTTATAAATACATATATTATATCTACTTATATTTATTATCTACTTATTATCTACTTAACATATGCTTATTATATTTACATTTATATCTAATTAATATGTTAAGTATATATATTAAAGTATTAAGTATAAGTGTACTACTCATCGCTATAGTAGTATACCTATATATTATAGGAAAAATTGAAAATAATAATCTCAACTATTGCCGGTCCGCTAACAATAATCCCAACTATTGATTATTTTTGTATAATCCCAACTATATGGACCGTCCGCCAATAATGGTCCATGACCGCATATTACCTGCTCTAACAACTGAATTTTTCATAGAAATTAAGCGTAAAAATTAAAATTTGGGATTATTTATAGGGATTACCTGCTATATCTCTTTAGAAACTATAGGAATTTATTTATAGTCGATCACGTCGGACCATTATTGGCGGAAGGTCCCTAGAGTTGAGATTATTCTGAAATAATCGATAGTTGGGATTATTATGAGCGGATCGCCAATAGTTGGGATTATTACAATCAATTTTTCCTATATTATATACTATAAACATTATATTATATATTAGTTATACAATTATTATATCTACTTATATACTTATTATCTACTTATAAATACATATATTATATGTACTCATATTTCTTATCTACTTAATATCTACTTATTAGATACTTGTTATTTACTTATATTTCCATATACTACATCTATATATATTGAGTATATATATTAAAGTATAAAATATACATGTACTACTCATCTTGTAGTAGGAAATGTATTTAATGTTTTAAATCTTTCTCAATTCTCAATTGTAGTTCATATTTCAAGTAAATATATTTTAACTTTTTATATCTAGCACTTCTTCAATTGATTTTTAAACAACATTAAAAAAAAGTGGAAATATCCGAAGATGGCTCTTTCGTGGCTAGCATTTCATTTATGTCCCCTTGCAAAATACTTTTCATATTTAAATTTTTTACTTTTGACTTTTTGTTTCAATATTTCAAAAGTATTCTAAACTCTAAATTAAAATCAAATTCATTCAAGCACAACCCTATATTTTCTTCCGCTCATTGCTTCTCTCGATCACTGACCTTTCTTCTCAAATTCTGGTCTCTGTTAAATGGTAATAGTGAGCAACTTGAACAAGTGAACAACGATTGTCTTGTGTGCTCCTTTGCGACTTGCGAGTTTGCTACCGGCTAGTTGCGATGGCGAGAGCGCGGGTCGCAAGAGCTGGAGCACGAAGCACATCTATCTATTATCTATTATAATCTAAAAGCAAAAGGATTTTGGGGATTGGATTCCCGCTCAAAACTGTCAACGTCAAGACAAATACTATTAGCAATAAAGATCAAACAAAGAATTCTAAAATAATAAAATTGTATGGACTACAAATTCGTAGAGAAGGTTGCGTAGAAATCCCACCAAAATATTCTAAACAGTGAAACATGCAAAAGGTGGCGTTAAAATCTCATCCAAATCTATTAATCTATTCATTAATACTCCGTATATAAAACTCTAAAAACACTCTACGCCAAAAGCAAGACAGTGATACACTATTGTTTTCAATTTGACAGGACATGTACAGTGATGTTGATTATACATGCCCATACTTTAAACATGAGTATGTTTTTAGGCAACCAAAATTTTGAATGCAAAAGTTTTGCTATAAAAGCACACTTCTATTGAATCTTTCACTTGCTCGCTGCTCCCCAAACACAGTCTAGAATGTTTCTCTCCAACCATATTACTCCTCTGAAAAACAAAAGAAAACAGTGAGTATGTTACTCGACTCAAAAATCACGTACCCGGGATATGAAACCACAACAGGTTATAATAGCTCTTGCGTAGGGAGTAGTAGGGAGTACTGCTCTCAAAAATTATTTGAGACTCCAGGGTTAATATGTAAGTTATTCTCACTACTACATGGAGTAATCATGTTAGCTCTTACTCATCTCCTACATTTAACTTTACAGGTATGTCATTTTTGTTTCAACAGGGTGCATAAATACAATACAAGTACAAGAAAAATGTATCCATTGAAGAAGGCCCATTTGTCATGATTTGAAATCAAAATTCAAGAAACGATTCCATTGTACATACATTGTGTGTATGTTTGTATGTAGACTTATGAGATCTCATATTGGTTATGTAGTCATATACTTCAAATGAATGTATGAAATGTTACATATTTTCCAGAAATTCTATACCATTTAAATGTTAACATGAAAATGTGGAATCAAACGTTTGATCAACCATACATCTACTGTGTAGCAGTGGGATGAAGGGCATCTCATGGATGAGAGTGGATCAATGAATCTTAACATGTAAATGTGAGTTTTCCAAAATTATTTTTTAAATTACAATATATTTGACCCTTCTTTGGGTGATGTTCAGTTATGAAAAAATAAAAACTTTGGTAATTGAAATTCACACATTGTGTGGTGTAATAACATAGCACATGTGTGGGAAGCATGCCTTGGTCACATATTATTATTATTAATACTACAAACAAAAAAATGCTTCAATTAGCATGCACCATGAAATAAAAATATGCACACATTTTATAATTTTGAGATTAAAACATGCATGACATAAAAGATAATGGCGGACAATGAGTAGAGAAATTCCGCTGTGTCACTTGCTTTTGCCGGCTTTAAATTTTGGAATTTTGGTTTTCTTTGTAATGGATTGGAGAGAATGTCTTAGTCATCCATAGGAATGAAAGGTTTGGTTCTCCTGTGGAAGGGACTAATGAGGAGCCGAGTGGTGAGAGATGCATTTTATTGGGCCTCATACTTTCTAACAGTATTGGACTAATAATGAAAAGCATGTTAAAATGCAAGGCACCTAGAACTTGGTTAGACAATGGCCCATGCTCACAAGTTGCCAAATATGGTTACACATTTCCACATATTTGCACCCCCCGATTTACTTGTTTACCCAGGCAATTCGTTAAAACAATGCAATTCGTATAACCCTATTATTTATTTACTAAAATAATTCACCTTCAATAAAATTACTTTTGAAAAGGGAAAGTTATTTGGCAAAATTATTTGTGTAACGTGCGGGTAAATTACTACTAGAAGAAAGAATTTTAAAAGAGGTTAGTGTGAGACAGAAAGTGTCATTTCTCAAACATTCATTAACAATTTCAGATGTTAGCTTATCATTCCAATTTCGGAAGCGATAATACCCAAACATGACTATAAATAAAAATTACAGACAATCATTGTCGCGTCTTTGTTTGTTATTAAAAAAACATGTTTTTAATCATGATTAAGTTTATGCAATTGTGTTTAAAGTAACATCCGAGCATACAAAATATATATTGCAAATGATGACAGAGGAACAAACAGTGATATCAAGAATTTGTGTATAAAGAAGTGTTTCATAATGTTTTTGAATGGAATATAATGGGGTAGTTTGGATTCAGCGTTTCATTCTCGATCAACACGCTGCTTTTTGGAACGTTTTATTTGTTAAAAGATTAGCGATTTGGCTAAAATGCCAATAACCAAACGATTTTCAAATTATTTTTATATCTCGTGTTACTTACTATTTTGTGGGGCTATAAAAAATTGTGTACTACTCCGCAATCATTGGAAAATCGTATTAAGTACTACCACTTTCCCGTTGATAGTTTCATATGGCAAAATGACGCGATTATGAAAACAATAATTGAATAAGGTAGTTTGAGTTTATATCGATAAATAATTTAATGGGTATATATTATAATGAGATTAGTGTTGATAACTATGATATTATAAATGAATTATTTTAAATATTTAGTTATTAATATGTCATTTAAGATTGTTGATTGTTTTT